GGTGATGCATCTGGCTGGTTGTACGGGTCTGCAGGCTCTGCAGGTGTCACAGCAGGTTGTTCTGCTGGCGAAGCAGGCTGAGCCCCTGCTGATGCAGCTGGCTGGTTGTATGGGTCTGTAGGTTCTGCAGGTGTCACAGCAGGTTCTTCTGCTGGCGAAGGGGGTGGAGCAAAGGATGCATCCGGCTGGTTGTATGGATCGATAGACCCTGCCGACGTCCCAGCAGGTTGTAAACCAGTTGATCCATCTGGCTGGCTGTGTGGCTCCGTAGCTGATAGCGAAGGCTGTCCCTCAGAAGTGAGTGGAAATGCAGATGTGCCTGCACCAATCTCCTGCAATCGTCTCTGAAGAGTGTTAGCCTCTGGACTTCGAAGCTTGTACTTCTCAAGCCGCAAGATCAGGTCTTGCGCCTCAGTCAGAAGCTTCCTCAAGTCCTCCCCCTTGCAGAAACACACCCACGCAAAGCAAATGTAGTGCCACAAGCGCCATCTCATGGCGGACGCGAGCAGCTTGCTGTGTTGGGCGAATTCATGCCAGTTCCCCTTCTCTTGTTTGGCCTAGGCCGTGCAGCCAAATCCTGCGGCAGATCTCATATAGCCAGTTTAACCCCTCCAAAGCTTTCAGAAAGTATGAAAGGCGCAAAATGCCACGAGGCACCAAGCATCCCACGCAGAAAGTTCACTCTTCTTTCCCAAAACTCCACTTCCAACAGCTGTGATCACTCGTTCCTCGTTTTGGTCTGGTATGCCCCGTCGTATACAGGAACCCATTGATATCCCGCTGTTCTCAATCTTGGACACCACACTTTGTGGTACAAGAAGCACCTCTTTCTTTCCAAACTTTTCCCCTCCCTCCCGCTCCCTCCCCCTTCCCATGTGAGGGTGGAAACCTCTTCGGACACTTGTTGATGAAGAGTCAGGCTATTCATTTATTTACCCCTCTAGGTTTTACATGGTTTTACATGTTGTTTAATACTGTATATTGGTGATTCTTGGGGCCAAATGTGCCCGTTCTCTACTCAACTGGTCGTTCTAGTTCTTAACGACCGGCCCTCCAAGCAATAGCTTCAACTCGAAATGAAGACGTATGACGAAACCATCAACTTCTTTCAGCATCGCTTTCAAAATCAATCCAAAGAAGAAAATTGTTGACTGCGCTTGGGCTTCGATTCCTGACATAGTGCTCCAACATTCCTAAGCTAACACATAAATAATGGTTGTGTGTAAACGCAAGGATTCAAGCAAAGTGCTCAGGTTGAGTATTTCAAGTGCGTGTGCCCCGCTCGCCTGCACTTCTCTCCACCAGAATCTTCACCACTGTATCCTCGGCCCGACTCCCAGTGAAACAGTAACAAGGGCTGAGCCAGGTCAAACAGATTTCACATGTTTGATCACTTCTGCCTGTGGGCCATCCTGGAAATGCAAAGTCAGTGTTTCTAGGTTTGTTGGAATGCACCCTCTACCCATAAAAGTAAGACAACACAGTGGCCTGGGGATCATTGCCACACTCATCTATGTAGCGGTCTTGTGGCACAGTCATTATGTGGGCGCTTCGGGTATGTTCGTGCACGCTTTGCGATACATTGAGGCGTGGACCACGTTGAGGATGGGGTAAGCTCCTGGCAAACGGGTCAGCGAGGCTCATGAACTTCCTCGTCGACGACAAATCCCGCCAATGGAGATTTGCAGGGCCACCGGCAATGGGTAGAACCAGAACCCGTGATCCACGGAAGGACTCGTGTGGAAAAACATTGGATGCCATCACTTAACGCATGCATAAACAACAAACTCGTGCACGTGTGTGGTGAAAAAGTCAAAACTGTTCTCCATCCTTTCCACGGCACCGCAACCCTCATGTTGGCATCATAACAGAATAACGCTTGTCAGCTCTAGAAGTGTCATGATGGCAATTTATATACCTGAAAATGATTGGGTCTTTTGCTCGTGCCAAAATGCTCGCCAAATTGAGGCCGGAGAACATGCTGCACTCCAGGTCAATCGAAGAACGTTGAAGTCTTCACAAGTACCATGGCAATCATCCAGTGCAGCCGAGTTGTACTCGACCCTCCAGTCTCCCTGCTGCGTCTCCTTCTGACAGAACGTTTGCCAAGTTCCGGTTCAATTGAAGTCTGGAAACCTATAGAAACCTCCCTTCGGGTAGAAGACCGCACATTGGCTTCTGGACTTTGCTCCTTTGCTCGCAAAGCGCTTCACCGGCAAACGTCGCAGCTGGGGTGGAGCCCCGCTGATGGCACCTGGAGGTGTGGTCGTGCCCATAGGGAAGTGGGTGGGTGTCTGTAGTATTCTGGACGTGGTGGTGCCCTGCCTAGAGATGATTTATGGATTCAGAAATAAGCGGCACGCAATGACAAATGCCGAAGCTCGGGGCCTGGACAGGAGGTGTTAGAACCCGAGGTGTAGAACCCAGAGATCTTCTCAGCTTGCTTCGGACCTTCTTTCTGGCTCTGGGGTGACCTACATGCTGTCACACCAAACCAGTCCAAGAGCACAAAAGGAGTTCAAATCACCTGAATTGGTAATACAATAGTGACTTGAAACCACTGGTTTCCGTTCAAGCTGTCTTCTTGCAAGCTGGTCTTCAAACGCAAGCAAAGCCCTCCTCTCCAAAAGTCCCCCCTTTGCCATTCTAAGCACTCTATCTCCTGAGTTTAACTTGCCTAAGTCAAGCAAAGTAAGACCTTTGAATCGTCAAGCGCTATTGCTTACCCTGCATGTAAGTGCTGTACTTTCCAGTGCCCTCACCCCCTCCCTCCCAAACCAAAGTCCTCCCTTCCTCGAACATGAGGAGACTCAATGGCACATAAGTCTGAGCATGGAGTCTTTCTCTATATATATATATATATAATTACTTAAATACACACATGATGAGAATCGAACAAACCCATGTGAGGATTTCGAGAAATACCAGCGCCGCACATTCCTTCAGAAAGAATCCCCCAAATGCAGGTGACAAAACTGAACATCCTACATGTCCCGGATTCTCACTAGACCCAACAGGCTGATTCACTGGCATGCCTGCTTTTCCCTGAGCTTGCAAAAGGCTCCTCAGGAGGGAAGGTGCTTGGTGCTTTCTGTGGTAGCTCGCTCCTTTTTCTCCCAGACTCGTATGGTTGCTTACTACCCTCCTAAAGCTCCCTTGGCTGATCAGGCAAAACGCAAACCATGGCCACACTATGGGTCAAAACATGTCAAGGCCATGACCATGGTGGCTGGCAAACTGCACTGTTTCTCAAACTCAACCTTTAGGGCAGCATTGTCCAAATGTCAGCATATGTCAGAATGGATTAACAAACTCAGAAGGGTTCCGTCGCGCTCAATTTCTTGAATGCTTCAGCTGCACTCCTTTGAAGACTGTAGCTCTTCTCAAGAACTTCTCGAGTCGAAGACTGCCGCTGCCGGGTGTTGTGCGGATGCGCAACGCTTCTTTGCTTCGGGCCTCTTCTTCTGCGGCACCCGGTCAACCAACCCGCCAATCACGTAGATCTTGTCCTCCTGAATGACTGGCAATTTTGTTATGGTGCCGAGGAAGCTGGATTGCTGAGGATGTGCACATTGTCACATTGGCAGAATCTAGTCAATCCATTGCTCTAGTGACGTGACCCCAACATAGAAAAGTGAACCCCCTGGTCCCTGGTTGATAGAACATGTCTTAGAAATCATGGGGCTATTGATTTGGTCATTGGTGATCTGTGATGTGCCTATTTTGTGTGAACCACCACATCGTGTTCCCTCAGGTTAGCCATCGAAGTAAGCCAAGAGAAGCTCAAAAGCGAAGCTAAAAACAAGCTTCCAGCAGCCACTTTCGGGAACGACCGCCTCGAACTCTCTTGCAGTCGAACGCTCCTCAATGCAGTCGAGCTCCTCCTCCGCATCGGGCGATAAGACCTGGACATCTGTTTGAGAGGCATGAAAAGATGCATGCTGTATACTACTAATCCAGAACCTCAACTGATGTCCTGTCTGCACATCAGGCACAGGATGAGACACCTCGTCATTGTTTTTCTACCAGGTGCAAAAAGAAGTTGGCCGAAGCCAGACTAACCAAATGCGTGACATGCACCCTGCATCAGTTGCATCTGAGCCCCGTGCGATCAAGTCTTCAATCCTTGACGGAGGTCCGCTGCGGGGACCATGTAGTTATGTAGTTCTGAACATTGGGTAGCTACTAGGAACAAGTGCATCGCTTCTAGTAACAAGTGCCTTACTTAGTAGTAACAAGAAGCTATTAGAAACAATATCACTTTTCCCCAAATAGTGTTTGGGATTTTGTTCTAAATCCTGGACCTGTTTGTCTTCATGAGAGAAACTCCATCAAGAAACCATACAGAACCCCATCTAAATCTAACTTGTATGCCATGTCAGCTTGCCCAAAGGCCTTGAAACATATTCATGAATCAATCTATGTGCACCAGGCCACACACATTTAAAAAAAAAATCGTCTCTTCCGACCATCTCATCCCGATGCTATGCCTGCTATGCTTGCTATGCTTGTACTCACATCTTTTCCTGCCACTCGGCCCCTGCCAAACCCATCTCTTCTCATCCAGTTGGACCAAAACGGTTTTGTCCTCACCCATCGCACAGCTCACTCTGGGTGCGAGCATTGCCGGGGCACCGAGCACAAAAAGCTCCCAAAGGCTTTCCTCATGGCGGTGCACTTTCCACCCGTCCAGGCCTACTGCCTCGTCCGCGCACGGAGCAGGGTGAGAGAATGTGAAGCTTGTCATCTAATACGACGTGGTTTGTATACTATTGTGAACGTGGAACATGACATTCCACCAGGATCTCAGCTGTATGTTCGTTCTTGTGCCCGATAAATGTTGGGCTCAACTCTCAGGGGTACCGTGTCGCGCGTCGTGGAAATGTGTGCGATGTGTGCGGTTCTTTCATTGCTGTGACTACATTGGTGCCGCGGAGCGTGGCAACGATCCTTCGAGGGTCCAGTTTAAAGATTCGTTGAATCTGGTGCTGCACTAGCAGTTGGATGACAAGTCAACGTCATCAGCGCCAATGGCGCCCAGGTTTTCAGGGCCTAGAAGCCAATGAATGGGGTGAAGAAGAGGAAGAAGAGGAGTCGCAGTCGAGTTCTAGACCACAGACCACTGGAACTGGAGCGTCCGAACACCGAAGCAAAGGGTCGACAGGTCCTCCTCCTAGCTATGATGGTAGCCGGGCAACAGGAGCATTCGAAGAGTATAGGCTCAGAGCGAAGCTCTGGCTGCATACCACCAATCTAGATCCAATAGCACGAGGTCCGAGGATGCTGCAAGCTCTTACCGGAAAAGCCTTCGAAGCTGCAAAGCACCTGATTGAAGATGACAACTGGTGTGGATCCCCGGATAATGGCATGGAGCTGATCCGATATTTGTCCAGACCCGAATGTTTTGGAAAGGAGGAATTGGAATCTCTCTGGAGCGCAATGACCAAGCTGTTCTACTCTGCACTTAGGCGTAGTGATGATGACCTTGCTGCATTCCGGACACGCTTTGAAGAAGCGGTCAGGAAAGTGCAGAAACACAAAGTTGAACTGCCCTCAGAAGCACTGGGATTCCTTTTTCTGAAGCAAGCCAAGGTAGATGAAGAGACCATGGAAAGACTCGTGACTTTAACAGGAGGCAGCCTCAAGCTGGAAGCAGTCATTGACGGCATGAGGAAGCTCAAGATGAGACTTCTCGACCCCGATGATGACAAAAAGCGTCATGTCTGGCTGCAGGATCAAGAACACACAGCAGCCGAACATGTACAAGAGGCTGATGTAGATGACGAGTTTCATGTAATCGAAGATGCTCTTCAGGATCTTGACTCAGAGGATCCTACTGCTGTCATCACTGAGGACGAGGCAAAAGATGTCTTGATGACATTGATTCGACAGAAGATTGCCCGTCCAGCTCAGTATAGCTATCGGCAAGTGCAGCAGACCAAGCAAGATCTTCGCAACAGTCGAGGATTTCGTTCGGTGAACACCGGTTCCGAGGGACGTCACCAGGGTGGAATTGTGAGACGTGACATCCAACAGTTGAAACAAATCACCAAGTGTCGTAATTGTGGTGCTGTTGGCCATTGGCACAAAGAGTGTCCCCACCCAAAGACGTCGAACGCATCCTCTTCAGTTGGAACCCAGGGTCCCAGTACAAAGAATGAGCCCAGACAAGGGTGGTGGTCCCTAGTTGAAGCAGTAGAACATGAACAGGGAGCCACCTCGTCGCGCGCACATGAATAGGAAGCACGCCCTTTGTCCGTATGGACTGCTTGCGTAGGAGACTCAACACGCAGGGACAAAGGGTTCAAACAATTTTCTCCACAAATGAGAAGCATTTTGCTTAGACGACACGTAATTCAGCAGCACTCTCAAAGGTTGGTACCCCTTGAGCCTAAAAGACTAGAGCGTAGTGTCGAGCAGTCCAATCGGGATTCGACTGTGAAGCCAGTTCTTTTCCAGCAGGCAATGGAACAAGTTGCCAACTTTTGTGTGTTGGACACCGGATGTCAAAGAGCTGCGGTAGGATCTCGCACGTTGCAGATGATCCAGGAGCAACTTCCCCAGGGCATGCAGGTGAGGTTTGAATCACAAAGTTTTGTGTTCAAAGGTGTTGGAGGGTTGACTCGTACTCATGAAGTAGCTGTGATTCCCATTTGTTTAGGTAGCAGACCTGCAGTCATTCGTGCAGCTGTTCTTCATGAACCAGCCGAAGCGCCCCTACTGCTTTCACTTCCAATCCTAAAGGCATTAGATGCTCAAGTGTGCCTGGGAAGCGCAAGCCTAGAATGCAAGGCCATTCAGGAGACAGTTAGACTCCACTATAACCACCGTGGTCAGCTCTGTGTGTCCCTTTTCCGATTCGACCAAATACCGCAAGACCGGGCATGCACCTGGAAGCCCAAAAAGCTGATCGGAGATGAGTGCACCATATTTCTGCAAGCATTTTGCCATGAAGAGTCACCTCAATACCGTGCACACACATTGAGCGAGATGGACAAAACGCACAGGAAACATCACAGTGTTAATGCCGAGGGTTTGCATTGCCAAGATGTCTTAGGAAAATATCCAGTCCTTCGTTCTTTTCACGGAGTTGCCAGAGAGAGTATTGAGTGTGAAATAGATGCATCACGATGTGAACCAGAGATCCCCAGTGAGAATTGCGGTTCAAAGCACAGTGCCGATTTCGCTTCCACTTTCGATCTCGACTGCGCAGATGGACGAGAGCCGCAAGAGAAGTTGTCCGGCATCAGCTCATCCGCAGGAGCCCAAGCGAGTCAGCGACTGGTCAAGGATGTTCAGTCGCCTCCAGATTCGCACACACTGCCAAGCAATGTGCCAAGTTGTAATGGGGCTGATGATGCCTCTTATGAGCATTCTGATTCGTTCGTTCATGATCGAGACTCAAGATCCAGAAGAAGAGATTCAGGCTCTCGAAGACACGATGGCTGTGATTCAGACCTTGGTGGACGAGAAAAAGGAAATTCAGAAACAGGAGAAGCTGGAGCGTCGCCGTCGACGACAGGAGCGACGCGAGGAACTTCAGCGCGCACTCATGAAGTCCGAACAGATGAGCCGCTCCTCCAAGTCGAGTCACAGCTTCCTCTTGGTGGAAGACACCAGTCCATCCATGCAGTTCAAAGACAAGAGCAAGAAGGAAAAGAAGAATCGGTCCGACAAGAAAGAGCAGATGCCCAGTGGAGTTCCACTGGAGGACATGAATCCAGAGGACGAAGCTCAGGGACTGCCATTGAACCATTGCTTTTGCGGACTCCCCGTGACCACTTATGTGAGTCGCACAGCTGGAGCAAACTTCCTCCGGCAGTTCAACCGTTGTCCAAAGCAGATTGGAAAGCAATGCCAATTCTTTCAATGGATCGAGCCTCCGAAATCGACTCAACACCAAAAGCTCTTTCGAGAGCGAGAGATGCCAACTGGACCGGGCAGGAACGAAAAGACCAAATCGAAGGCCAGCTCAAGCAAGCAGAGCAGATCTATCAGCAGCTCCAGTTCGACGTCAAGCAGCGACTCAGAGCTGATGCCAGAGTCAAAGGCAGCTGCTGGGTACCCATCCCGCCGGCCTCCATGTCAGCACGACTGGAGCCGCAAGGGAACAAATGGACATCAGCAGATGCTCACTTGCAAGATCTGTGGCCGCAGGGAAGTCACCAAGTACTCGACCGGCAAAGTGACGGTCACACAAGTGGACGACACTCCGAGCCCGAATCGGCGGAAGTAGGTTCAGCCGTGCAAGAGGAGACACTTCGCCCAGGTGTTCGAAAACGAATCTTAGGATTGATCAAGGCTAGAATTGACGAACTAGAGTCAACAGAAAGCAGTAGGGAGAACAATCAAGACTCTGTTGAGGAATATGTTCATCTTGACCCTACTGATGTTCAGAGTGTTTTGCATCTGCATTTGATTGGCGAAGTGTTCAGCTCACCGCGATTCACCGATCGTGCTTCAAGACATGGATTGCAAGCCGGACGTGCGTATGATTTGAAGTTAGGAGACAACTTCCTTTCCTCATGTGAACGCAGGGACTGTTTGAAACATTTGCAAGATAACAAGTACGGCTTTGTTGCGGTTTCCGTGCCATGCCACATGTTTAGCATGCTTCAGTATTTGGCACTTGGTAGGAATCATCAGCAATGTTTAGCTGACCCTGTCTTCGCAAAGAAGTGGAAAGAAGCAATGACTCTAACGTTCGGTACGCTTGTTTGTCATGTGCAACAGCAACACGGAGGTTGTTATCTGTTTGAACATCCATGGTCTGCCAAGTCATGGCAGCAGAAGTGCGTTGCAAAACTGTTGAACTCTCCAGGAGCCATGCTGATTCGAACTGATCAGTGTGTCTTTGGCCAGTCCGATGCACAAGGAAGTCCAATCCGCAAGCGCACTGGATTCATCACAAACAACTCACAGATTGCCAAGACATTACGTAGAGATTGCCCCGCCAATCACTCACACGTACATTGCATAGGACGGAGTTGTGGCCAATCTCGAGCGACGATCGCAGCGCGATATCCAAACAAGATGGTGGACGCTGTCTTGAGTGCATATAAGCGATCGATCTCGTCACTGACCAAACACGACAACCTATTGTTTGAATGTCACCATAGACGAATCAAAGAACCAATGACAGTTTATAGTCTCGGTACACCAGTTGATCCAGACGAGTCAAGTTCGTTGATTTTTATGGGTTGTCGGGTCAGTCAGGGCGGTTGCAAGAAAGCAGCAGATCCAGTACCCGAAAGCATTTTTGCCGCCGAACCAGTAGATCTCGACCCAAGTGACATTGGGGAAGCCATCGATCTTGAAGCAGAAGAAGACGACGAGCAGCCAGGTGTAGATGATATCGAAGAACAACCGACTTCCCAAGAAATAAAGGAAGAAATAGCTAATATGCCAGCAAGACGTCGTCAGAGTCTAATGCATGAGATCCAGAAGGTTCATCGAGGTCTCGGGCATCCGTGTTTATCTAACTTGCTTCGAATCCTCAACCATGGTAAAGCTTCTCCTCTGATCATAGCTCTTGCAAAGGAGTTTAAGTGTTCCATGTGTATTGAAAACAAACAGCCAAGACCATGGAGAAGGGCCGCACCGCCTCGACAACTTGAGTTCAATCAAGTGGTAGGCGTCGATACACTCACGCTGAGGCATTTTGACCGGAGCATTCACTGTTTGAACATTGTCTGTTGGGGCACGCGATATCAGATGATCATCCCACTCGAAAGCAAACATGCCATAAGTATACGTAAGGCATATCGATTGTGGATAAAGATGTTCGGGGCACCACACGTGATCCACCCGGATCTTGGAAAAGAGTTCCAAGCAGAATTTGCGAGCAGGTGCGCTACAGATGGTTCTAACATGTTGCCATCAAGCCTAGAAGCTCCAACGCAAGCAGCAATCACTGAAAGGGAAGGGGGAAGCTTTAAAACGATCTTTGCAAAAACCAGTCTTGAATATGGCAAAGTAGAAGATCAGGAAGAACTACATGAACTAATAGACATCTCATGTATGATGAAAAACAGACTGACGCACAGAGGAGGCTATAGTGCCATCCAGAGGGTTTTTGGGGTCACACCATGTATCCCTGGAGAAATCATGAGGGGAGATCACAACAATCTGCATCACATGGCCGAGATCACTGCAGGTGATGTAATTCTACAAAAGCAAGAAGCAATGCGTCTTGCGGCAGGCCGTGCATTCTTTGCACAAGAGTGCAGTTCCGCAATTCGCAGAGCACTCCACAGTGGACCTCGTGTCAGCCCAGAATTTTCGGTAGGCCAAACTGTTTATTTCTGGTGCAGCAGTACTCAACAGAAGGTTAGGCATAAAAACTCAGCGTCACGCCGACCCAACTACATGCGCTGGACTGGACCAGCAAGTGTGATCGCTATGCAACTTCCAACAACGCTGTTTCTGAACTTTCAAGGCCGTCTTGTTAAGGCAGCGCCAGAACAGTGCAGAATGTGCAGCGACGATGAGGACGTTGCGTGCAGCAGCTTGCTTCAGAAGCTTTGCCGTGTGCGAGATAGCCTTAAAAGTAACAAGATTGGAGGAATGTTGGATATTACCGGGTTAGACCATCCACCAAGCAGTCCCACGTCAAGAGTAGGAGTAGACCCTTATGAAGATCACCCCACCAATAAGCGCAGGGCTTTTGGCAAACAACCACCATCCAAGAAAAGCAAAAGTAAGGGTTTTCAGGGACTCAAAAGGAAACAAGATGCTATTGATCTAGAGGAATCAGATGTTGACTCAACAGGTGACTCCAAAAGAAAGTGCAACGAAGAAAGTCAAGAAATTGATTTTGACGACCTTTATTTGCACGAAGTTTTGGAAGATCCTCAAGTTCAACAAAACCTCATGCAGGAAGAAACAGAAAACCATGTTTTTATGATAGTTCGAGAGCCAAACGAAACGAGACTCACAAGTGTTCGCAATTGCTGGAGTATGCAGAGCCAGACGAAAGAGCTTCGACTGCGAGACTTGGATGAGCATGATCGCGCCTTGTTCATCAAAGCGATTCGAAAAGAGTGGGAAACAAATCTCAACGCTGGAGCTATCGAAGTGATACCTCCTATGGAGGCCTCTAAGATCCGTCAAACACAGTCACATCGAATCATGCAAAGTCGCTTACTTCATGTGGCAAAACCCATTGATGATTTGGAAAACTTCGATCCAGATGAGATTTTGCATTATGGTCGAGACAACCAACCCAGAAAGGCAAAGTCCCGATGGATCGTGAGGGGAGACCGTGACCCAGATGTGTTCCAAGTGGAAACCACTGCGCCCGTGATAGCTCGTGACACCATGTTCATTGGACTCCAACTGATTGCAAGCTTTGGGTGGACGGTCTTCTTTGCAGATTTCTCGCAAGCATTTATGCAGGGAGGAGAGCTCATCCGCAACGAGCCACTGTTCTGTGAGATTCCAGTGCATGAACTGCCAGACGTTGAACCAGGTTCATTAGTTGCAGTTAAGAAAACCGTATATGGACTGACAGATGCACCGTCAGCATGGAACAGACACTTAGATAAAGCACTGCAGGGCCTCGGGTATCGACCATCGATACTAGATCCATGTTTGTATACACTACATGTTCAGGAACAATTTCATGGTCTCATCATGGTTGCAACAGACGACTTGATTCACGCAGGTGGTAGGGAACATGGCACACGAATGGAATCACTAAGACAACGGTTCAGATTCGGTAAATGGGAACATACTCAGGGACGGTTTTGTGGAAAAGACATGTTTCAAAAGTCAGACAAGACTATTGAGGTCAGCCAGGCGTATTATGTTGACGCAAAATGCAGAGATAAGATTCCAATACCTAAGGGTCTTGGTGATGAAGAGCCATGTAGTCCAGAACAGATCAAAGAACTAAGGTCTAAAGTAGGAGCACTTAGTTGGATTGCAAAAGAAACGCGTGTCGATCTGGCAGGAGCTGTTGCATTGCTAATGCAGGCATTTCCGAATCCGTGCGTTCGCGATCTCAAGAACTGCAATAAGATACTAAAGGAAGCAGTAATGTACAAGGATTTAAAAATCCGTATCTCTCCAATAGAGCCAGAAGACTTGTGCATTGTCGTTACCAGCGACGCAGCTTGGGGAAACGCTCTAGATGAAAACAAACAAAGTGAAAAGAGTCAAGCTGGCTACCTGGTGATGACAGCAAGCCGCGCCATGCTTCAAGGAAAGCAAGCTTCCTTTTCGATCTTGGGGTGGAAGAGTCACACTTTAAAGAGAAGAACTGTATCAACACTCGGAGCAGAAACACAAGCCATTGTAGAAAGTGCTTCAGTATCGTGTTGGTATAGATACATTTTTCTTGAGTGTATGAACCCTAAGTTCAAAGCAACTCTTTCAGCAAACTGGGAGACAGGGATTGATAGCATGGAATTTGGCCTGGTCACTGACGCAAAGTCTGTTTTCGACGCTCTATCCAGACCAAGTGCAATCTCAGCAACAGACAAGAGGACATGCATTGACTTGTCCATCATTCGAGAATTTCTTCGAAGGAATAATGGATGTGTTCGATGGATTGACGGTAGATATCAATTGGCAGATTCGCTTACCAAAGTGATGCCATCAGATTTTCTCAGGTCAGTAATGAAACTAGGACATTACCAACTACATGAAGAGTACAATACTCTTGCCTTACGAAGAGAAGCTCGAAAGGATCGAGAACAACGCAAAGCAAGGTTGCAACAAGAACGAAAAGAAAGTTAGAGGAATGTGAACGTGGAACATGACATTCCACCAGGATCTCAGCTGTATGTTCGTTCTTGTGCCCGATAAATGTTGGGCTCAACTCTCAGGGGTACCGTGTCGCGCGTCGTGGAAATGTGTGCGATGTGTGCGGTTCTTTCATTGCTGTGACTACAACTATGTATATGCTTGGCTTTTGCACCGGCTCGCGGTCTGAGAGTGTCTGATTCCAACCAAGGCACTTCTTGGAATGCTCTGGGAACAGTCAAACATATTTGGCCTATTATATGGCCTGCGTCACTGAGCCAAGCACCTTGAAATATGCCATGGCTGGGTTGTCAGGGCGTAAGGAGGTCACGTGCAGCCTCGCGTGTGCGAGTGAGCCTTCCAGCCTTCCTACCTCTTTTCCAGTCCCTGTGCGGAATCTTTCCAACGCCCTGGCTTGTGGATGTCGCGGAGGAAGATTTTGTGATCGCACTTTACAATATACTAATTATGAGGGCACATCTGCCCTCCCAAAAGCTTGTGATTTGTCCATCCTACTAGTAGGAGCCCACCACGACCCATCGCTGCACTTGGCCAGCCGGCTGAACATTTGACCTCCTTTGCTTCACGTAGGAGTAGGCCACCTTCACCTGGGACCGCTGCTTGAGCATCCATCACGCAACAACAAGTTATACATAATTATATTATACCGATGTTGGGCTGAAACGGGTCCCGCCAAGCGCTAAATTCAATTGCACTAAAAGTCTAATGTGCTGAAAGTTGATGTTGGGTTAACCCTAAGCGGCTAAGCGTTAGGCATGAACCCTGGTGAACACCCAGTCAACCCTTCGAAGTGACGTGCCAAAGCGGCCAAAGCGCACACCTGTCTCAGCAAGGGTCTCTGGCCGAGAGAATTGCTGGGAAGGGTTCCTGAGTGTTCAAATTCTGCCGCAGCAGCATGCCTCTGAGCTCCCCACCTTGACTGTATAGCTCGATTGCAATTGGTTTCCGAGCAAATTGCACTCCACAAAATCGAAGTGCTAAATTCTACTGAAAATTGGCATATACATCTGATCATCTCCTCCTAGAAAAGCACCGTGTTGATCCATTTTAGGCCCCAAACCAACTACAAGTATTCCTGGATAATTTGAAGGGAAAAGACAGGATGCCCGTTCTATGCTACCATCCCACTTTCAACAATCATTCCTATCAACACAACCTTTATTGACCACCTCTTGATTGGCAATGCTTCAGCTCGTCATGAGAAAAAGGTGTGTACGCTGTTAACTTGCACGCTGTCAACATGTTAGTCGTTAGTCGTGTAAAGCACTTTCCAGTAAAAAGCAATTAATCTTCCTTACATCCCGCAGGCACCAACATTATACTTGACACTGGGCAAGCAAATCTCGGCGCAGTACGTCCGTTGCTTGCATGTCAAACATCGTTGCCGGTGCAAATAGAGACTAAGCTAGCATACAAGCCCTGCCGCCACGGTCTAGCAGTCTAGAGTCCAAATCCTTGCTACCTGGTGATCCCAAGAGCCGTGAGGAAGCGAACTGGCCCAGCCGCCCCCAAACGGCTTTCGTGCCTGCTGTGCCAAGGACTTGTTGTCCCTCTCCTGCATGAACTCCCCAAAGCTACCTCGTTCCGTTCCCCCCGCCAACACGGCTCGGATTTATTGACGACGCTGAGGGTCCAACAGTTAATGACCACCTTCGGGCGGCCATGCAAATAGGACTGCCAAAGGCTCTTCTCCACTTCCACCTGTCCAGCACAACACCAAAGCCGGCAATGCACAAACAGTCATAATCATAGTGAGAACACACCATGCCAGCATTCTGTCAGACCATGTCAGGCCGATCATCTGGCCAAGATCCGAACTACAGGCTACATCAAAGCACAGTATGCTGGACGTGAAGGCATCATGGCCCACACCTCTCAGTCTGATGTTAAGCCAACACCTCAAGCAAATGAAGTAAGAAAGAATGCGATCTGAATTCGATTAAAAAACACCTTCGCACACGGATGGCATCTCTCGGCTCGTCAACCTGCTTTATCCTGGCCTCCTGTCTTTGCTTCTCTTTGAAAAAGTGGGCTCTCTCCTCCTCAGTCATGCCTGAGAGCTTCTCCTGCTGGGTCGATTGCAGTGACTGAATGCAAATATCAGAAACAATTCACAAGCAACATGAAACAGGTTTTGGTATCTATCTGACTATCTGACCGATCTCTTCATCACCTGCAAGTTATTGGCAAAGAGTCATGCCAAAGAAGGCGGCAAACAGTTGTTTATATATAACAACCTCTTTGACGAGCTTTCTTCCCAGGTCTTTGTCCCGCTGCCAATCTTCCTTCTCAAATGGCAGACTCTCACAGCACTTTGGTGTTTGCTCAACTGGTTTGTCCTGGCCTGCTCAGCTGAACTGTTCTCTCATCTCAGCTCGTTGAAACTAGCGAGTTCAGCTGGCCACTTCCCAACCAGCTGGCCCAATTAGGTTGGAGATCATCCCTAGTAGGTTGGAGGCCATCGCTAGTTCTTTTGCAGGCCATTGCTATTAAGTTTGTTGCTGACCCAATTAGTTAAATCCCAAATCCAATTCTCACCAGTGACCCCGGACGCACCCAATGCCTCCAAGGCCGCTTGCTTCCGCTGAGCGGCTCGCCGCCGCTCAGCAGCCCTGTGGGACCCATGAGAAGGAACAGCTGGGCCTCTCTCGATCCAAGTTTTTTAAAAATAACACTGCATCAAATCATGTCGTTGCTCTGATATTTTGAATGCCCCCAGTCAGCATGCCTTCAATGTGCCAATATCGTGAAGATATCCTTCTATCGAGGGTAATTTGGATCAAACAAGTTTATCCTCTGTACCAAGTATTTGAAGGTAAGGTTAATTGAAGGTAAGGTAAACTCTCTTGGGAAAGGAAGCAATCTCAGCATATATATTCGGCTCTGCCTCTGCTCAACTCGTCGAGCCTTCTGTTGAAGCCACCTGGGACCGCACGGGAAGGCCACATGATCGGCAGTCAAAGCGATTGCGATCAGATGCGATCAGCACTCGTACGAATGTGCGATGCCAACCGTCAACAGCCATTCCAGCCGATTCCAATCTCCAACCACAAACTTCAGCATCGGTGCATGCTCCGGGAGCAACCTGGAACGCGCGGAGGTATCTGGAGCATCCTGGAACGCGTGGATGGTCCGCCAGCGACTTTGGATGCCAAGGAACCGCTGTTCCTTACGCCACTTGCGCTTCGCAGCCTCGGAAGGACCATCGTCCTGGAAAAGCTTTTGATAGAAGCCCGGCGAGCAGCTCGAACCCCCGGTGTTACAGTTGAAATAGCCAGAGAACTGCCCATCCTAAGTGCTTTTTGCAAAGAACCGCCCTCTCTCCCATCCAAAGGGGTCTTGTTTAATATGATGTGTGTAACGAAAGATTCTGAGGAATGGGCCGGCGTCAAATCGAGGCCTGACAGCGACACCATCGAAAGTCGAAAGTCGATTCGCATACCAGTGGCCACATCAAAGGAACAAGCAAAAATTCATGTCTAGCAGCAAAGTGACGCATTCATTCTCTTCGTCTTGAGGGGGGGTGTCTAAGTGCTTCCCATTGCTGGTGATCTTGGAAGGATGATAAAGATTCACAAACCACAAACTACAGTAACTACAGGAAACTTCACCTTTAAGGCACTGGCTCTGTTCCCCCGGCAACGGTGGATATCGCTTCCGCCGCAGTTGCTGCCGCGGCCGCAGCCAGGCGCCAACGCTGGCGCCCAACGCTCCGAAGGCGCTGCGAAGGCCGCGCCAAATGGAGCCGGGGGTGGCCTGGAGGGGTCGGAGATGGAAGGCGGATGAAGACGAGTGGGTCATAATATGTCATTGTGGATTGAACATCCAAGATAATCCAACAGCCCATCTAAGGGTACTTAGACCTAGACACTCCAAAGTTGTCCTTCAACATACCCGAAGGGTGGGGACAAATTGTTCCGTGCAATATGGATGTGGAATGTTGAAGATTGACGCGATCATACCTCTGAATGTCAAAACGGAAGGACATGACATAATCTTTATCAGTTGTGTCACATCATTGTTGTGGAAATTCCGCCCAGCCAGCCCATCTCTGCGGCTTCTTTTTCCTATAGCGACTATGCTGGGTCCATTGGCTGGCGGTGGTCTCAGCCAAACATGTCGAAGCCATCATCGACAGGCTTGGCTGCTGATTTCTCAGCTGCCCCACCTCAGCTCTTGTCAATACCAGGGCACCCTGTGGCGATGCCAGATTGTTGAATGGATATTTCAAGGTATTGGGCTTCCTGTCCTGAAAGCATCTGAAAGCATCACCCATCATGACCTATAACATAGTGAGCCCGTTGCTCCACGCTTGGATCTTGGACCAGTGCAATGGGCCCACGCTGTGCTACTGAGCAAGATCCGTCTCAAGCCCCCCCAAACTCTCCAAAAGAACGCATTGAGATTAGTGGACCATGCTTGGATATGATAAGACCATCTGTTGATGAAGTTCGCAGGAAAAAGTGGGAAGAAGCTCCAACGCCGACCGAGGCACCTCCTTTCTTTTCTGCTCTCTTGGCCAGCAGCCTTTGCAGCGGCTTTTCTTGCCACCAACATTGGACCGCCATACACGCCAAAGAGTCTCGATCAGGCCTTAGTTGCTAGGGCCAGGGCCGTCAATGGTGACAATGATTGTTACACTGACATGGCCCGGCATTAAGCAATGGCACCTCGTGCATGAACGAAATCGCACAGAAATTCTCCTCTCGCCGGTCCCCAACATCTTTTCAGGACTTCCAAAGACCCAAAAGTCCAGGCGGCCCTTGTGCTTGAGCGGTGCGCACCACCGCCTTACTGGCGGCTTCCCAGCCGTCCAGGCCCTGTGCGGGGCTGCCCCAAGCGTCCAACGCCACGTTGAGCACATCATGGTCCTTGAGCACCGAGGCGACCTCCGCGGAAAAGACCAACCTCAGAGGGTGGTCGGATGGGCGGCCGTGTTTCCCACAGGTGTGGGTTGCCTGGGGCTTGGCTGGGGGAAAGAGCAACCAAACAGACCTCTCAATATGCGAAATCTGGATGGGTCTCGACATGACAAAAAGAAAAGTAAACAACAACCAATGCGAATGATGCACTTAGAGGTTCCTATAAACCTTTTGCAATACAAGGATTCTACTGGCTGAACATGAGGCGCCACCAAATGTTTGAGGTCCGCTTTGAGACAGGGCCGGGCAGGGCTTGCCACTCTTTCACGCTAAGGAGGCCAAAATGACTTTTCCAGCCAGCAACACCGAACCCAGGAGGGTCGAGCTCCAATCAATAATATATATATATATATAATATAATATAATATAACTATATATAATATATTCCACTGCTCCGATCTTTCGAAGCTGCCAAGTGGCGGTCGCTCAAGCGGCTCACCCGGATTCAATGGAAGAAAGCAGATGCAAAGAGCTGGACTGGTGCGGGGGTATATTCAGTCTGGACCCAAACCCACCATGCTTCTATAGTCTCAGACGATGCCAAGTTGCTTCATGTCTTGAGCCCTTCCTTTCACCGCACTATCAGAATGTCTCGGTCTCCGACTGCTCCGCCGGCCCCCGGCGGGATGTCCGGCGGCCGAGTGACAGGAAGGGCTCCTCCCCAGCGACGCAGCGCCACTCGCGGACCTCGTCCCATGCCACCCGTGAAGCATGGCAGCACAAGGAAACCACACACACGAGAAGACATCCGACCGGCAGCCCCGAATCCAATCCACAAATGGTATCATCATAAATTGTCATAGACCTTACAGGAAGCCATGTGTAAACAAATCGGCAATTTGGAGGAAACGACGGCCCCCAACCAACGTCTGAGTGCTCGGAGGTGCCTTCTTCACGGTGGGCTGCCCGACGACCGGCGACTTCCCGGTCTTAAAGGGCCGCCCGCCAATGAGTCGCGCCGCCGGCATGCGGAAGATCTGGCTGGGTCCTCGGCGAAATCAACCAGAGTGGTTTCCATGGCCAATGCTTATAATAATGACAAGTAGTTTAGTAGTTTCTTTCAGTGAAAGGGGAGTTCATCTGTGAACCTAATTTTTGAGGCAAGGAATTAGGTTGTCCCAGAACGCCAGTGGATAGTGGAGGGATATTCAAAAAAACAGCCCCTGTTAAGTACTCTTGTCTCTGTCTTCCGAAGTATGCAGTTATACATGGGTTGCTGAACAGAGTGTGTTTGAACCAGAAGTTCACTGGGGTATGCTCGTGCTGATGGCTTTAGAATGGCCGGCGGACTGCTTTTACCCACAGAATACATGATAGAATCTGACAAACGATGCGCTGGGGTCTCTTTTGCAGGGCACAGTGATTCCTGAATTTGCGCAAGATTGCTTGAGCGTGGCCGTTTCACCCTAAGCTAAGGAGTGTCCACCATGCTCCACGAACTCCTGGCACCCATTCCTTACACGTCTCCTCATTTTATTTAGGAAACACCGAAACAGTTGGTGGATCGACAGAAGCTCGAACGGTCAGTGGCCTCATTGTGGTAGATTTTGTTCCACCACTACGGACTCCGTGGCCCAA